CATGCCAGCCCCAGACTTCAATTAAACTGATTGAAAGATTATGTCTTCATCATATGAATATCAGGCACAATCCTTCCCGTTAGGGGTTTAGTATCATACCATCATAACATATATGAGAAGAACATAACCCGTGTCATGCCAACAACTGGTTTTTAAATAAATGTGTTTAGTGCCGATGCAAAGACCCTATAAGTTTCACAGTAACTTGATCACCAAATGGTACACGTAATGGTAGGGATCTATATTTTACTACTTCTAATATTGTGTACGGTATTGAAGGTACTCTTTGATGACTGATATGTGTCGATGAAACACGACAAACACTAAAACGAAAGAATGAATGATCACCACGGATGTAACAACAAAATTGATAGGTGTATGTATTTTGTCTACTTCCAGGTGTAGTGATCCTCTGTTCGACGCAATGAGAGTCACGTTCATCGAAAATATACACTACCTTCAGTTCATACCGTATCTATGAACAGTTTGTTACTTTTTGTTTATAAACTTTTGGAAACTGTATCTTTGATGATGTTTTTCTAAACCATTATCAAAGCTAAATTTTCTATTCCAAAAGGACCAGAACACTTTCGGTATAGATTGGTTGCAATTGTTATGGACATTGCTAACCACAAAGTAATCGTTCTGTTACAACTCTTCCGAAAGATGAGGAAAAACGTTGTGCTTTACGTAGAATTCGCTAATCAGGTTGAAGGTGCTGTCAATTAATATGAAAATAAGAAGATGTGGTATGATTGCCAATGAGACAAATCTCCACAAGAGACCAAATGACACAGCAGAAATTAACAACTATAGGTCACCGTACGGCCTTCAACAATACCGCATAGTCAGCAATAAGGCAACATTAGTGTACGATGATAAAATATCGGAAATCAATTAAAAAGGGACAAACTAAGGTAACAAACAAAAACTAAGGGAACTGCATATATTACAAAGGAGAGAAACCGGGTGCGTCGACAGGGTAAGCGTTTCCTGCTATACTTGCATCACCCGCCTTGTGAAATCATACTCAGCCAAAAGGTGACAATCTGGAATTGAACACAATCAGTCGAACAATAGATCAGACGACTATTCTTGTATCTAAAGATCTAAGACCGCAAAACATGTCGCGTGTTGAGACACGGACACATTGTACCAGTCAAACCAATTAGTGACGGTAAAACTTTTACTTTATAGTATAGTGTTGATTTCAGTCGTTCTTCCTCATAACTCTGTTGGAACAATTTGGTGTAAGGAGCACGACCTTGCTTATGAAGACCGTATAGTGTAATACACGAACGTAACGTATCAATAGAGATATGTACACTTTATCGATCTGTGTCAATATAGCGGAAAAGATCAAGATATCCTTTATCAATATTAGCAATATTAGCAATATAAGCAAATATTGTCAATCAAAAATATGCGCACAAATCAATACCTGATAACTTCAAAGATATAGTTGCACCTGTCATTTCATATTTCTACACCAAAGATATTGCATCCACTGTTTTAAACCGCAAGAGGATATGAGAGATTTTTACCATCCAGGATGTAAAATACAAACCTCCTGATTGCGTGCTCATGTTCATCGTCCCCATACAGGTATAGTCCTTTGGTCATTTTATTACTGGAGACCTTGGTATTGCCAACAAGGGACAACAAAGAGAGTTGTTAGCTAAATCGAATTCCCCAGCCCATCAACCGTAATAAGAGTTTCAAGCTTTCAAGCATGCAGTTGAAGATTATGCCAGAAAATGGGTAAATCGCAAGCCAAATGAATCTACGACCTGCAATGAGCACACGAGTTTAAAACCCTTTCCAGAAGCCCGAGGTTCTGGATGCTTTATGTTTTATCCATGACAAATATGTTGTTGTCGGAATTCACAGAAAAGTTTGGAATCACACATTTACCACTACACCATTCACGAAAGAGGGGATTTTAGAAAATCACTAACTCGTTCTTTTCTCCTTTGGTATTAACATAAAAAAGGACGACACAATCTCCCGTTTTTACACTGGATACCTAAACTTCACAAAAATTCTTATAATCAACGATAAATATCCCATATATATGATCATATATTGACATATGTCTGAAGTTTTAACCATCATTATTTCTAGAGTAAAGGGTTGCTTTCAGAAATATTGTGATGATGCATATTCAACCGGTGGTGTCAATCGGATCAGCATTCTTTAAAGTTCTAAAGATCTACTGCAAAATATCCAATCGCATACATCGTTTCATTAAACTGAGCTTTTAAATTTTCTACAAAGAGAGACGAAGGATACCAAAGGGACACTCAAACGCTTAAGTCAAAAATAAACTGACAACGCCATGGCTAAAAAAGAAAAGACAAACAGACAAACAACAGTACACAAAACACAAAACACAGCAGACAAAGACAGAGCAACACGAATCCCACCAAAAAACTGGGGGTTATCTCAGGTGCTCCGGAAGCATGATAAACAGATCCTGCTCCACATGCTCCACATGCGGCACCCGTCGTGTGGCTTATGTTAGTACAAACCCGGTGATAAGTCTAATTCGGTAGGTCACATTCGGGGAAAAGGGGACGGGATTGTAGATACGACAATTGGAACATAAACGTTGTCATCTGTGAAACGGATATTCCATAACGGTCAACCAACTCGTGATGTCGTCCGTAAAATTTACGAAGAGAATTGTAGATACAAATTTCTTATTTTTTGGTCATGAGAACAGCACTGATTCCAAAATTAAATCCACGGAATATCATTTCAACAAATTGGTGGACTTTAAGATCGACTTTGGAGGATTGGTATTTCAACAGACAGTCGTTATTCCAATGGATACTAATATTGCACTCCTACTGAAAGACTTGTTTTCGTATTTGTATTAAGCAGAATTAATTCAAAACCTTATCAAGTTTGACCTTTATCCTCGTGAATACACTGTTATTTACGACGTATGATTCGTAACCGAATGTTTATGGTATTAGTATATTTTGGGCATGATATGATATTTTCAAACAGATATGATTTGAATAAACAATTTTAACATTAAATGTTACATTCATTTATTGAAATTCCTATATATTTTTTTATTCTAGTCAAGACTGGCAAAACAACATGGAGATATGGAGCTTGCATATATAAAGGCGAAACGTGCTCAAAACATGGTTTTGTGGGCGGTAATTGTTGGGATTATAGAATGTCTTTTAATTGGAGGTTTAGTTGTTAGATTGTATGTGCTGCAGTTCTGAACATCATTTTTTTATTCAATTTATATTTCATGATAAAAGTTTTCTGTTGATTTCTATCATTAATTTCGATCACTACCAAATTTTTATAAGAGTGTAATATGAGTGTAATAAGAATTAAAGTAGATGTTCGAAATAACTTGTTTGTTATAGGTGAGCAACGGAAAATTATTATGAATCCTTTGAGTTAAATTGTAAAACATTAATAATCCAACATTTTACCAACAATTTGCTAACAAATATTATGAAAAAAATCTGTCTACCGATATTTAGTGCTTTCAGGTGCTCGACGAATACTGTGCATGGTAAAAGTTCTAACAACACGTGAATAAATCAGTATATTGTAACTCTTGCTGTATATTTACCGATCACACCAAGATTGGAGTAAAAGAAAGATCATTGGATATCTTTGTGAAAGATGATTACTGACAGATTTATATATCGTAGCAATAACTCCTTCTTTTACTCGTTTTTGACACCATAAACATTTGATTTGCTGTCGGATTCAAATTGTCATGGGTAACACTACATGTGCCACAAGTGGAATAGGAAATGCTGATCCTTCCGTCCATTTTTGTTTACAGTTCTTGTTGTATTGCGTTGTTGTCTGTGGTGACGTTTTGGATTTCAATAAACGTTATTGAAATCCAAATATATATGTAGTACTGGTTAATTATTGATTAAAGGATTCCGTTACCACAAATTACTTAAACCTTAAGTTTACTAAATTCTTTCTTGATACAAGGATTTGGTTTGGACGTTTGGCTATACCTGTAGAAAACTTATTACAAACGGGATAGAACATCCAATTTTTACGGTGATGTTGTTTACCGAGCCCGAAAATTTAGATACGATCCGGGTAAACTTATTGATCCTATAAATAATCTTATTCTGAACGGTTATGAGTTCAGTTCTGTGAGTGTCATTATATCTTTGAGTTGTTTTTATCGGTATAAATATTGATTTTGTTATCACTTAATTTACACCCAGTTAAATAGTATTGCTATACACATATGTACATTCATGGTCCTACATTTTGTCGATGTCTATATAGTAATGAATATTCATTACTTTTTTATTTTGGGGTGCTATTTTTGGATAGCTCGGTGTTGTTGGCAGATCTTCGAAAGTCTGTGTTAAATAAACACATAGTGTTCAGACTCCGGCAACTTAAGAGCTTAACATTTTAACTAGCTGTATAAATATACACCTGTCTATTGTTGTAGATTGAATGTTATTCTACAGATATCTTTGGTAATTTGTGTCGTAATCACGCCTTGTTACCTTCATCATTTCAACCAAATGTTCGACTTTTTCTTCGTTTCTCTGCTCAACATTTTATTGAAATACGAAAGATTTTTTAGCATGATTAGGTTGCTCTTTCATTGAAGTATATCCTCAAAACTCCTTTATCATGAACCCCAAGGGTGACAGGAAATAAAAATATGGTCAGCTCTTAGTCTTCTTCCGACCGTTAGTTGCAAACTCATTGCAAAAGTGGTAGGTCCGTTTATTGTGCGAGATGCATAAATTCGCAGCCACATTCGTCAATCACCCTTCATTGTGTTGATTATAGATGATGTATATCAAAAGTCAAGTCTCGTGACTGCCTTTTTAAAAAAAACTAGTTAAAGGAAAAGTTCACCAACTGAAGTATTATATAAATCTATCATTCATAATATACGGTCTGTAACATCGACCTGTATTAGAGTTTTGTAAATATCGATTCATCGTTATTAATAAATTAAATGTCGGATCAAAATTACTGTACGTTAATTGTTACTGTTGATCAATACCAGACCCATTTCGAAATGTAGTCACATGCAATTTAAATGTGTGTCAATAAAATAAAATCCACAGAATAATATATACCTGCTGCACAACATGGACAACTATCCAGGTATGTAAATCTACAAGCTATATATGCAATAAAGATTATATATATAGTATATGAATATAATGTTTTAAAAGTTGTAAACTTGGTTTATTAAATATAATATACTTATTATCAACTTCCTTGTTCAAAACAAACAAATTTACACTGAAAAAATGTTGTAAATTTGTCCTAGGACTATCAAAAACATGTAATATATCAGCCAACCAAAACAGAAGTAGGTAGATTGGCTATGACTTCATCTGTTAAACCACAATTCATGTTATATTTTGTTGATTTCATACCATGATGTTAACCCTCTGTTAAAACTATGAATTAAATATTAAGTCCCTGCATAATGGTGGTTTTTATTGTGGTTTTGCTCTAAAGAGACGGGATTAGCTGCTGCAGATTTTGAAACTTAAGATAAACTATATAGTAAAATTAAATATTCCTTAAAGATGAAATTTAAACAGATAACACATGACGTCTATACTAAAAAGGTATTAAATATTTTTTCCCTATTACAGACAAATAAAATCATTTCTTCAGAGCAAAATAAAATCTGAGTTAAAAATAGTGGACTACTTATCAAAACTATCAATTATATTATTTAAACCAGATTGTTAATCTCTAAATTTCGGGTAAGTGAAGTTAAAAATGGAAGATATAGAAATATTCCCAGAGACCAAAGGTTCTGTAAATATTGTAATAAACTAGAGAATGCATACCACTTTTTTCTCGATTGTTAACTGAACTCAACTTAAAGAGATCAGTTATTTTTAAAAAACCAATAATATAAAACCCGGTTATACAAATTATCAACTACGTTTCAAGCTAAAACAACTTTTAAATCCTAAATATAACGTTTGTAAGCAGTTTGTGACTTTATAGTTGCGAAAATAAGGTCCATATCAAGTTACATTATCAGGACTATTTTTTTGTTAATGTTTATTCTTGTAATTCTAGACTGTCGTGTTAATACTGAACTGTCTTAGATGCATGGTTTAATTTTTAGTTGTTATCGGCTTTGAACTAGCTTACAGTAACTGCGAGTACTCTCAGATCTGTACTTTGTGTCTTTTGTGGTTTTGTTACGTTTTCTGTGCTTTGTATATAGATCCGATGAGTGTAGCCCTTATCAACTGATTTTTGTAGTTTGTTCTCATTTTGTACTGTTACACCACTGTCCCAGGTTAGGGGCGGGTTTCACGCCAGCAAACATGTTAAACCCCGCCACATTCTGTATGTGCCTGTCCCAAGTCAGGAGCCTATAATTCAGTGGTTGTCGTTTGTTGCTGTATATCATATTGTTTTTTAGTTTATTGTTTTGTACATAAAACCGTTGGTTTTCTCGTTTGAATTGTTTTATATTTCTTGGCCCTTTATAGCTAACTATGCGGTATGGGTTTTGCTCATTGTTGAAGGCTGTACGGTGACCTATAGTTGTTATCTTCTATGTCATTTGGTCTCTGGTGGAGAGTTGTCTCAGTGGCAATCATACCACATCTTCTTTTTTTATATATATTTTGTGGGTTATTTTCTTGACCAATATGGATGTAATTTTCAAATAAAGTTATTTTATACTATTACATAATCAACTAGGTTAATGGCAAGTAAATTTGCCATGTAAATCTCACATAATATTTAAAATACATACATCTAAAAGTTGTTTACCTCTTGTATCAAGTTTTTTTTATCACAACTATACCTTAATTCTCGTACATTTTCTGAATCATAATTTTTATATATAGGAATATGCACAACTATCATATATTCATCATTTTGTTAAAAAATCTGGCTTTGAACATGACCGGGCTTTCAAATCGCCACACAATACAATTCCGCTTTCATTCTTGTCATTCTTATATTTGTTAGTAGTATCTACTTTCTAATAAATATCCACTAAATCGTTTGAATATCTTGAGTTGCTTGGTGTTATATATGCAAAAAGGAGAAAGATATCATTCGTCATGCAAGTCGAAAAATTGTTTTAGCCATTGGAAATCTTTACTCGCATTTTTCTAAAAAAATTACTCCTTGGCGAAAATGATTTTTGATCAGGATAACCAAGCCCTCCATAAAATCTAAAATAAGACGATTTTGATCTACATACTGAAAAATATTGATGGTGTCATCTCCAAGATGGGTTTCAGTTAACATACCAATGTCATTATTTCCCATTTGTCTTATAAACTATTTGTCATGAATGTTGTTATATGGGTTGGATATCACTCCTCCGACAATCACATTCCAAATACTTAATATTAATAATCAACATCTCTTCCTTCAGAAAAGTCTGGCTATCCGCCACCACCTGCCTATAGTCAGGTTTACTCTCAGCCGGGTCAAGGATTCTCACAACCAGGTCAAGGATTCTCACAACCAGGTCAAGGGTTTTCACACCCGGGTCAAGGTTTTTCACAATCTGCAGTGTACAATCAACCAAATATTATACCCTCAAGAAATGTTGTCGTGAGTATGAAACTTAAATGAATAAACATTTACTTATCTACCTTTAAAGTTAGACTAGGAATTTTCTGATTTGCCCACAAAGAGCCCCGTTATTTTTAACTTGTATGCCTCTACGTAAAGGCGATATTGTAAAAATGGGAGAAGATACCGAGGGGCAATAAAAAATCAGTATTCCAATAAAAACAAACAACACCTTGGCAAAGAAACGAAGTAAATACAATGATAACATGACACTACACAGATAACTAAGATGAAGCAACACGAACCCCATCAAAAACCGGCGAAACTCAGATTCTCGTGATGGGTAAGCAATTCTTGCTTTATTAGTGGCACCCGTCTTATTACTTGGTGCGTTATATCCTTTTAAATTATTTATACTTTCTGAAAATTAATCAGAATCCTCACTTTCTCAGCGTGAAAAAAACTACATTACCGACTGTTCAACCTACAAATATCAAAACCCACACAAATCAAAACAGACTCGTGAACAAAAAGAACACATGGCCCAGACGGTCCGACTAAGTACAGGGACAACATGGGGTCAAACCATACATTTTAAGTCTATGCTCTTTTAGAATTGTGAAGTAATATCGTAATCGATAAACAATGACAGATTCTCAATTTGTAATGAAAGGAGACAAATCATGTTTTTGTATTGATTTGTATTTTTAAGGTACCGAACGGACAACATACACAAGGGAACATACCCAAAGACTGGACCGTGCCTGCAGTTTTTGCAACCTTCTGTTGTGCTTGGCCATTGGGGATAATGGCGATCTTAAGCGCAAGTAACGTGAGTCTTAAACTTATATAGTAATGAGAGTCTATTTATATTTTTATATGTTGCAGTTAATAGAAGTTTAAATATGATTTTGTCTATATAAAACTGTTATTCGAAAAATAGAAAATTGCAGGATATGGTATGGACATACCTTACACAAAACCATACTGTCTAACATGAAGGTGGTATTTGTATAATCACTATAATGCATGTATTTCTTTTCCAATAAGATGGATGGGAGTGTTTGTGGTAAATATTATATGCATATATCGATGTGAGCCAAGGCTCCGTGTTGAAGACCGTACTTTGACCTATAATGGTTTACTTTTATAAATTTGGACTTGGATGGAGAGTTGTCTCATTGGCACTCATACCACGTCTTCTTATATCTATATTTCAAAATAAAAATATGTTAATGTTCAATAAATATGAACCTTTGTTCAAGACCTAAAAGTTGAAACGGATATTTAGCGTACAAGCTCACAAGGTCACAGTCCACAGGAAGACACGTCACCGTACCCAGGCACATTAATCTGCCTCCTAGTCGACCTCCACGTCACAAGGTCACAGTCCACATGAAGACACGTCAACTTACCCAGACACATTATTCTGCCTCCTAGTCGACCTCCACGTCACAAGGTCACAGTCCACAGGAAGACACGTCACCTTACCCAGACACATTAATCTGCCTCCTAGTCGACCTCCACGTCACAAGGTCACAGTCCACAGGAAGACACGTCAACTTACCCAGACACATTATTCTGCCTCCTAGTCGACCTCCACGTCACAAGGTCACAGTCCACAGGAAGACACGTCACCTTACCCAGACACATTATTCTGCCTCCTAGTCGACCTCCACGTCACAAGGTCACAGTCTACAGGAAGACACGTCACCTTACCCAGACACATTATTCTGCCTCCTAGTCGACCTCCACGTCACAAGGTCACAGTCTACAGGAAGACACGTCACCTTACCCAGACACATTATTCTGCCTCCTAGTCGACCACACTCTTTGCTCTTTCTCTAAACGACAGAGAGTCGCTGTTTGATGAAATGTTAGTTCATTACCTTAAGATAAATAGATTATCTGTACATTGTAGGCAAATATAAAATTTATTTTGTACAAGCTTTAGAAACGGAGAGAAAAGCGAAGCTCGCCTAGCTTTTCTAATTTTTCGTAGCGTGTAAAAATACATTTTATATTTTTTCCTGCAATGTACAAATAAAAGTCCGAATTATACACCAATAAATTCCCTTAAAATGGCGTTTAATCCTATAATAACCGTTAACAGTTCGTAATCTTCAATATAAATGAAGCTGTAACTGTATACCAGAAGAAGAAGAAGAACTCACAACAGACGAAGAATACCAGAAGACAATAAACGTTTATATCGCTTCATGATATAGATCTGTCAACCTGTATGTTATATTAGAAAGGTCGATTGCAGGATAATATACAATTAAACTTGAAAATTGAAAAAGCAATTGTAGTGCTGACCAAAGATGAACTTTTAGAATAGAATAAAATAATTACATTACACGTTTGTTTCATTAGAATCCGTAATTTTGATTGGCTGTCAACAATCGCCAGGCACTCTATTACCGTATTTTATTTCCGATTAGAATACAACAGTTACGACTGCCCGCGCTATCCGTGATAATGGTAAAACAATGCATAGAAAAACAAACGAAAAGCTTGATATAAATTTTAAGTTAGTGGTTTTAGCATTAAAATGTAATTTTAATAATTGAATGCTTCTTTTTGTAATTTTATAGTGTTGTAAAAGCGTTGATCGTGCGCACATGCTACGAAAGCGCTTCATACAAAATGTGCTTCGGTCAACGTCTTTACACCCCTATAAATTATAAAAAGGATTCAATTCTTAAATGAAAGCGATGTAATTGGGGACAAATTTGGAACCAACCATAGTGACAGTTTCAGAGCAAAACGGTGAATGGTTTAGCACTCAAAAGTCTGTTTCTGTATTGCTGAAGTTCCTCCTAATTAAAATGATGACTCTAATAAGTTGTTTGCACTATTAGTTTCGGAGCCGGTACGGTGAAATGTTGACCACTTAACGAGCCTTAATTGTGTGTAATAGTCTTTACTCTTCGTATCGCTGAAATTTCTTTCAATAATGGCAACATGTTGAATATTGCACCCGTCTACTTCTCATTAGCCTCAGACATTAAGCCTATACATATAAAACATTTTGTTTGAAACATCGAATAATTTACATGAACTCTGTCTGTATGAAGTATGCAAACTAAAATAAAAGGTAACAAGAAAAAGTTTTGAATCTGGGATAGCAACGCAAAAAAATATTACATATAAGATCATTCTTAGGTTTGATTCATCAATTAAGAATTATTATTTATTTTTTTACAGGCAAAACAAGCAGTCCAACGTGGAGATATGGAATTAGCACATTTGAAGGCAAAGAATGCCAGAAACCTAGTAATAGTTGCAGTAATTGTGGGACTTCTTGGTTGGGCTTTTTTAGTGGCATATATATTAATTCGGATTTACGTATTTTAGTTGGAGAGTTGATTATTCCAATTGAAAGGCCAGACAGTTTACATAAAAACGGATGAATTAAAATCACATGTTTCAATTAGTAGAATATGTATAATGTTTGTATATTATTTAAGAAATGATCTGAAATAGTTCTGGAAAACCTGATATTATTGTAATACAATTAAATTATTTTTTACTCATTCCAGATTTATTTTCTGTCTATTATATTTATTTTACGTTTTCTTATATAAATTATTATGCATTGTTATAAATTTATGAGGATTTAATTACTCAATTTGGATCTGCATGAACGGACATACTGGGTATACGTGAAAGCTACAGTAACCCATAGAAACACAAAAACAAAAACAAACGTCTAGCGGTCAACATATAGTCTACAACAATATACAGTCGTCTGTACAATATGGCCAGCAAGATATACTGAAAAGACAACCACTGACGAGGTTCCTGACTTGGGACAGGCGTATGAACATGAACTCTTTTTAAAAGATATCAACCACTTCCTCATTTTATAACAGTATAATAGTTGACAAAACACCAGTTCAAACAAAAATAACCTGCTGTTATGGAATTGTGCCGTCGTATTTACTCTTAATATGGCTGTGCTTCAGAGTACATTTCATCCAGGACGGTCGTAAACAGTACAATAAGACACGATCCAATGACTTACACAGAACATGCAGAGGGAACATCTTAGTCTAACTTAAAAATAAAAATTAACGAATTGGTGTCATCCCAAAAAATACCAAACGCAATGATTGGAAAACAATAATATAGTTTAACCTCGTCAGTTATATATATAGTCAATAAGCCAGATATATGGAAAGATTAAAGGGCATTGACTCGTTATTTTTATGAATATTATTACTGCAAAATTTGGGTGTAAACTACTACTTTTTATTACTTTACTACAGATTGAATAATACTTCAACAATAACCATCTATATTTGTGATAAGTTGAAATTGTCGTTTTCAACATTTGCCCGTGTCTAATACATAGTAAGTACATTTAAGCACCCCAAGTGTTCAAATTAGTGGATTCATTTATGCCACGGTGGTTGCCCTGGAGACAATATATCATATAGTATTGGGCAGAACAAAGTAGTAACGTAATTAGCATTACTTATAAAAGGACTTCAACATTGAGCTGCAGTGATATCACAATTACAGCCATCAGTGTAGAACAACCAAAGTTAAGTGAGAAATAGAATAAGTTGTTTGTTTAATTGAATTGATTCAACTTTCTTTATATGACAGATCAAGATGTACATATGGTCCATATATCATTCTTTGACTTTAAGAAATCAATATACATTCTTCTCACCATCTGGTTAAAATACAGATCATCTGTCCAAGCCTTGTAAGCAAAGCATTGACACAGGATCAGACTGTTCCTCGCATAAATGCACTGCACGTACAAGTTTCGTCGATTTTTTTTATCCGCATTCTTGCTATATTTAGTACTAAGCGACGTTTGCTTAATATATAATTCTGTTGTCTGTTCCCGCATTATTTGGGATATGGATTTCGTTTAACGTTTCGCTGAAAAGCTCGATAGAGCTTGTGAGCAATACCATATTGTTGTCGTCTTGAATATGAATAAAGTTTTTGGCATACGACGTTAAGCAAACAAAAATGAATCATATATATAATTTAGCCTAACAATGTTAGATCTACATGCAACCATCAACCCAAAAAGAAGCCGAGAAAGAAATGCTTTAATCGACTATATAGTCTATAAGGTGGAGTGGTCTAGGATGATGAAAATAATGCAGGTGCGGAGTAGGAAAGGAGTTTCCAAATCCAGCTAAGGGAAGCAATCTAATTAAAATATAGATCTCTAATTTCGTTATACTCATAAAGTGTCCGAGCACGCGAGTTAAGATAGATTTAATGATGAAAAAAATATTGTCGTAATTAACAGGCACAGAAACTTGGGAGGTAAATTATCTTAATAATACTTGACTCGAAATTTTGATGAATCAACGAAATTGGTAACAATTTTTTTATTCTTTCTAAAAATCAGTAACTCGTGTAGGAAATTGTACATAATGTCTTACACTCATGGTAGAATATTCTACATGCAATAAAAGACATGAAAAGAACTTTTATGTTTTTCTTGTGACAAAATAACACTTCATGTGTATCGGAATAAGTTATTACCACGTAACAAAAATCGAGCGGTTAAGAATGTTTACAACTCTATAATCTTTTAGAATTTCACGTTGTTGATATTTTAATGACATGGAGTTTCGCATTCTTTTTCCCCAAACCCCCACTACATCCTAATAAAACAAATCCGCGATGGTCGATGGCAAGGCACTTTGGTGTGTGTTTGATATCCAATTTTCTCAAACTCTGAGTTGCTAAACATCGGCCGGAAGTATTAAGAATGTGTAACGTGAGGCTTGCAGCATCACATAAAATAACTCGATTCGTTTCTGTGACTACTAAGTCAGTAGGAGTAAAGGTTCCCTGGTCAGAAGATACTGAACCTTTATAAATGCATTTAACTGCGTCACTATCGTCTCCACTCAAAATAATCAGTCTTCCATTACGATACTTGCGTTTGTCTATCACGTAAATATTCCTCGACTTGTCTGAAGTAACTTTGAATGGTGTGGAATCGTCCTCGAACAGTGGTTTCTTGTTGTTGTCTACACTGTACTTTTTTATGTGTTTTCCGTACAAGTTCATCACAATAATCTGTGTATCTCCTGTGTACAAATAATCTTCGGTGGCACCAACAATAATTTCGCCTTCGCTAGTGATATGAAGAGCAGCGGTTGTTTTCAATGGCGCCACGCTGTACTTAGATTTTTCTAATTTTTTGTCAGCAGAAAGTCTGCAGAGAATAGACTCTTCAGTAGATAATAAAAGATCTCCGGACGGCAGAAATGCCATACTTTTAAAGTTAACAACGAATTCGTGTATTTTCTCTAGTGTTCCATTGAAAAGTTTCACATGGTGGAGTTCACCTTCGAAAATGTCTGTTTTTTCTGCATTCATAAGTATAGAACCGTCAGAACAGTTTTCAATATTACCAATGGACGGAAATTTCGATTCATAACTTTCCAATACACTGAACGAGATACTGGCAGGAATGTCTTGTTCTTCAACATTTTTAACAATTCCATAAAGCGATTCTATACCGCACTGGGTTACTTTTCCTGGATTGAATTCCGGTAAAGAATCAAACTTCGTCTGAAAGTCTATCCTTATATCAAAACTCAGTTCTGTTCGCGCAGCTTCAAACACGGCGCTTTTATTTTTAGAATTGACGATATTTGTGAGACTGTTATTTCTTTCTTCCAATTCTATTCCGTATTTATTTATCTTTTTCTCTTCTTCTTCAATTTCACTTTTTATTGCCTCCCATTTCATACTAAGTTCGAGTAACAGCTTTTCTGTGTGTGCGTCTATGGTATCTTTTAAAGTCTTTCCTTGTCTTTGAATATTCTGAATTTCCGATTCAAGTTTTAAATAACCACTTTGCTTTATTGACCCTAATGTATTTTGGTGTCTAAACATGTCGACAATAATCTCTTGATATTTAGAACTTCGAGCTTTTAATTTGTAAAGAGAAAATGTGCAACCGGAATCTAAATCAATTATTGGATGGTCCTTATGGGGTTGCGAAATGCACATTGTGCAGACGACATCTTCGCATTGCTTGCAAAAACCACAGCCGCGCTGTCGGTGGGTTTCACAGTTAACAATACTATCATACCTCTGCTCGGTTGAACCAGTTACCTCGATATCCACAATTTTGTGCTGATTATACAAGTCCAATTCGTTCACTTGATGCAGAATACAACAATTCATACACATAAACAAATTACATGTTAAGCATCTACCCTTGATAGGATTTTGTTCCGGACATCCCTGACACGAAATAGCAAATTCTTGAAACGATCCAGACATTTTAACAGCGAGAATTAATGTTCAAAGACTTATAATTCCAGAAATATTCAGCAATAGAAATAATTCTCCTCCATTTTATTTGCAATCGTTAACGCTTGTTAACATGACCTGTTTTCTGTTAAATCAACTTTTGGAAAATCTGGTTGACGGGAAATGTATATATTATACATTTACCTGTGTCCTATTTATGATCTTATAAATATAGATTACATCATAACTTTAATATTTTTAAATGCCTAATTATTGTGTATTGTATATTTGAAACACGAAAAATTAACCCGTACCTTGCATGGATGCCTTGGTTATGAACTATATTCCGACAGAAAACAAACAAATCAAGCGAAGGAGAAAGAGTCTTGTTTTGTACTAAGAAATGCAAATATTCATTTACTTTCGATTTCTGCTCATTGATATTCACATATTTTCATGCTTCTATATATATAAAGGACGAGTTGTCTAGGGCGCTTGACACAGTGCAGGCGATGTGGCCACGATGTCACAGAAGAAAGGGTTCGAATCCCGTTGAGGGAAGAACGCAAATTTGCAGATCTAACATTGTTGGGCTAAATTTGAGACGATTTGAATATTTATATAATATGCATGTACAATGTATATCAATTTTCACTGGAATTTCGCACCCCATACAATGAACACTGATTACTAATACTGTCATAGGTCCTTTGGGACCATATAAAACTACAAAATGCCGGGATTCGCGAATTATATTTATATGTATATTTTTTTAAATCGAAATAACTAGGCACATGCACTTTAATATCTTAACATTCCTACTCATTAATATTGTTGCAATGACGTCGTAAGGTTCCCGTGGAGAGGACGTGTATGCAAGTCAAGGATGTTTCGTTTTATTTGAAACCGCAGGTCACTTCAGTACACCAACGGATGATCTTCAGACCCTCACAGGAGAATCCGTTGAACTATAGCATATAGTCACTTGCTTGAGTTTTTCATGATTGGTCACTGACACCATAGGCAATTAACACCCAATTTATCCCGTTGAATTATTTTCTATTTTCAATTGATTTCATTTTTAGCTTATTTAACTATATCTAATACATAACTAACACAAGCTTACGATGTGCCGCACCCTCTACTCGTTTTTTTCTTATTTAGAGGGGCGGTACCGTACCGTTGGCGGTACACACATAAACCGCTTTCAATGTGTCTTTTTTTTCTTCGAAATATTGGATTTTTTTTAGTTTGTATCATATCCTGGAAGAATATATTCCATGCCCTTACGGGTGTCTCAAATACTAATCAATATAATTATTATTCCGAGTATTATTCCTATGAACTTTATCAGAAATGATTTTGCGATTCGTTTCATCACGAACATTTGATAAAATACTCGAGCACCGCCAGCAGAACCGGTCTGCCAATAGACACAAAACACCAAATGTTACACTAATATCGAAACAGATACAGAAATGGAGATCTCCCGTCCAGACCCTCATGAATGAGGGACGTAATGGGGTCCCTTCATGACGAATAACGGTAAACAATCTTGCCAAATGACGTTAACGGTAAGTTTTGGTGCATGACGATAAAATGTACACTTTCTTTTAGACGATAAAAAAAAAATCGACTAAATTTGACGAATCACGTTGATTTTTTTCCACAAATAACGGTATAAACGATAATTATTTGACGCCTGACGGTAAAGGGGCATTCCTACCCTCATGAATGATTCTTTGTCTTGAGGTCAAGGAACAGTAAATGGGCTATGTCGCAGATTTTGCTAAAACTTTGCATACAGCCTTGGCTCGTTGAACTACAACTGAAAATCGAAAAAATAATGCATTTATCTCATTTATCATTTGAAAAATTACTGATTGAATTCTTTCAAAATGGGTGAACATTTGTATAGAAAGCACATAACATCGGCCATAAACCGTCTAAAATTTGTCTTAAAATCTTCAAATCTCTAATTTTTACTCCATAGATTTTTCTTAAAATACTGTATGTTCTTGACACATAAAATACTGTTTTAATGATATAAAACAATCATATGGTCATCGACTTCGTTTTTTGTTTAACAATCAATTTGTTACCTTTTTGGTAGTGAAAAACGTCAAAAATCAACGTTTTACGACCTGCAACGCGATGACGTTACAATATATTTCGACGTTTTGTGGCATTTTTTCACAAAGAACTCAATTTTGAATGATATATACCGTAAAAACGAAGTCGGTGACCCTATTTGTTTTTTGCACCATTAAAACGGAAAGTTATGCATCAACAACATATAGTTTTTTAAGTACAATCTATGGAGTAGATATCAGAAGTTTGAAAATTTGAAGACAAATTCTAGACGGTTTTCGCTGATTTTATGTGCTTTCTTTACAAATGTTTACCCATTTTGAAAGAATTCAATCAGTAATATTTCAAATGTTAAATGAGATAAATGCATTATTTTTTCGATTTTCAGTTGTAGTTCATCGAGCCAGAGTTGTATGCAAAATTTTACTGAAATCTGTGACATAGTCCATTTACTGTAACCATTCCGTAAAGGAAAGAACGAATATATGGTACGTCATCGATTTTTTTACTTCGGTCTTTCTTTTGTTTCCGGTACGCAGAATACGTCGTCTGCATTTTAGAGTCTGACATATATCTTGGTCATTTTACAAATATTCTAAAGGTCATACTTGGTAATTCATGAATATCAAAGTCTTTAATTTCTTACTGCTTTTAGCTGCATATCCTGATACTGTTCTATGGCTTGCAGCGATGTTGTATACTAGTATACATTTCTTTAATAATGACTTTTCGCTCCTATATTTCAGTCCTATTTATTTGTGCACACAATCACCCCAATGAATGATCTATGATTTTTTTTACTTTATGGGTCGCGACATTTTTGGATTTTACTTCGGGGTCCCTGTCCATAAAAGTACGTTTTTTGTAATGATATTAAATATTTACTTCTTTACCTGTTGTAAGAAGTAATCGGTTGCCGAAAAAGGCCAAATTTTAATTATTTAAATGAAATTTTAATGGGACCCCTAAAGTAAAAGAGTGCAATAATGTCTTCTTTTACTTTAGGGGTCCTACAACCTATATATAGGTGGTTCTAATGGGACCTCTAAAGTAAAAGAGTGCAATAATGCCTTCTTTTACTTTAGGATCCTTTAGGGGTCCCACAACCTATTAGTCCAAATAATTCTGACGTCAGAATTATTTGGACTAACAACCTATATGCAAGCCAATATTATATAAACAATAAATACAACAGTATTATTAAAACAACAGCACAATGCATTTTAAATACGCTATATATTGTTGGACCCTCCATTTTTTAATAGTAATGTTAAAAAAAAGTAATGTTGGGACCCCTAAAGTAAAAGAAGGTCTAAAATATTTTTGAATTGAATTGAACAATCACCCCAAGACTACGTCGTAAAATTAAAACAAGTCCTGGCTAACAACAGGATGGCCACCGACTCTAACAAACAAGGTTGCGAATAAATAGGAAAAGTTTCTTTTAAGTACAAGCATCTAGCAAAATTAAGTAGCCACTGCTATTTGTTAAACAGTGCCGTTCAACAAGTTCACAAAAAACAAAACCAGAAGCAACTCATAACATGAAATCTCTAAATCGTAGATATTTGTGTGAGGCAAGTAAGTATTTTAAATTTTCAAATCATTAGAAAAAAGAACTTATATCCCTCGAGTCCTGTGATTTCGTTTGTTGGGTAGGTTTGTTAATTTCGTTAACATAAGGGGACAACTATTTGATTTTCTAGGGGGACAGAAGGATTTGATAAACGAATAACTTGGACTGGTAAGAACTGAAAATAAATAACTTTATACATGACCGGTAGGAAATGAATGTTCTGCGGGAAAAAATAAGCATGCGTAGCAACAAATGAAAATAAATGATCAATCAGTAATATATCCTGCCCCCACCCCAGAAAATCAAATGTCCGTTCCCTTAGGTTGAATGAACGGACGTACTAAACGAACGTCAGAAAGAAACTTCCCAAGTAGCTTTTTGAAATTATGATTCTATTTAGTATTTATGATATATTATTTTGTCTTACTCTTAAATATAAGATTTGATCTTGATCAAGACTTCTGAAAGTACATTTAACAGTAGAACGTCGGAAAAATGTATTTATAAATCACAAACGTAAACCGTAGCCAAACTATTCGATATTGAGTTTGTCAACCAATGGAAAATCAAAGCCAAGGGAACACACTACCAGAAAAAAGTCATAAAACATAATTTGATGCAGATGTAAAACAAAACTTGTTAGTTTTCTTGTTTTTAACCAGAATAACACTATAAATTTAGTGAGTCAAGAGCGTTTTTCTTATTTGACCTTCTGACAACAGGAATTATCAAAACAAAAACAAAATTAAAGTCAATGAAATCTAAATACTTGAGAAGCTGCATGATTAGAAAGGACATAAAAAGAATGGCAAAAACCGAATAAGTAAAGTTTGCCATGGGGAGATGAAACTCTATTCTTACTAGTGTAACTAAGTCATGATTGAACCAATATATATAATTGGAACCTTTTGATGTTCAAGGGCTTCTTTAACAAATTTGATGTTTGCTGTTTGCTTAGTTATCGAGAAGCACTTATAATTTACGTAAATGTAAACTTTTTTGAAAGAAAGTGTATGTAAGTTTTAGTTTTATATAGATTTATTACATTGCAGAAAGACTCTGAGCAAACATGTATAAATGTATTCGTAATACAGTTTTGGTGTTCAACATTTTATTTCTGGTAAGTATACTGTATCTTTTATCATTTTCAAACATAAACTGTACCAATTTCTTTGCACCAGATATATATTTCGTCAATTATGTTTCTTCAGTAATGCTCGAAGCCATATTATTTGAAAAGTCACAACATTATACAAAAAGTATATGTAAGCGAATGATAATCCCTTTCTTCATGATTAAGTACGAGCTCAAGGCTTAAATGATCTCTAAATTGGTTGTATTTAATTATTAGTTTCATTGTCAGTGCAATGTTTATATTTAATGCATGACTTTCTTTTTAGGCATTTCATTTATGGATAAGTTTTAGTGATGTAAGGACTTTCTTATTATTTGGGAAATATTTTAAAAAAATGAGTTATACATGTACATATAAGGTAGCACAACAGAACTAAGAAAAATATTAGGTAGCACAACAGAACTAAGAAAATGTAGGAATTGTATATGTTTCCTGATTGTGAGTATGAATGTAAATCATGTAATATTTTAGTGAGGAATTATCCTTTTTTTTAATTTACAGTTTAAATCAATTGATACATTTAAACTAAACAGCCAATATTTTGGTCCGGTTTTTAACATCAAATACTATTTAATTATATCAGGGAAATGTTCAAATAAAATGCCTTTAAAAGATTTTTAAAAGTTTAATTCCTGTTTTATTTTTTTTTTAATTTTTTATCGAAATATTGGATACAATACAATACAATACAATTTATTTACAACTTAGGCACACGTATGGTGCTACAAGAGGATAACAATTATACATTAACAATTACATATATACTTATACATTTACAAGCAAGACACACAATAAATAAATAAGTGATATCATACAATAAAACTGAAATATACCATATTTGGTTGATTTGTTTGCAAAATTCTCAATTGCAACGTGGATATGAAGTTATTGTAACATGCTATGAATTATGAAAATATTATTTCAATATGTCTTAGAAACATGCACACTTTTGTTAGCACTGGCACGTTACAGTGTGATAATAGACCAGTAAATTTCAATTGGGAAGGATTTTTTGTGTAATATGTAGGTATATATACCTTTCTCGTAAAGACATAATTTGTTCATTGGAACATACAAAAAAATAATGATATTCGTCACCAATTGTATTTGGAAATAACTATTCTTCCCAACCGATGATCCAGTGATCAAAGTTTTTGGAAAACTAAAGATTAAAGTTTTTTTTTTTATTTTAAAGCTGTTTTTTTTCTATTTTTGCAAATGCTTTGATATTGTTTCTTATTTAGTAATTTGAAGTTATTTATATTTTCATAATAATATTCACGGTACCAATTTTACTGCACAGTAAACTTTAACTTACTTTGAGTTTTTTGTTTGTTTCACAATTCAACTTTTAGTCAGTTTCAATCACTGTGTGATAAATCCTTTCAATCTGATAAATGTGCTTCGGGGTAGTAGTAACTCATTTATAGAAACTCTTTGTTTTGAACTGTCAATAGACCCAAATAATAGGATAATCCCTTACATAGAACATGATTTACATTCATTCTTCACAATTAAGAAGCATCAAATCCTACAATTTCATTGGTCGAGAGCACTTTGCTATATTCTAATGATTATAAGAGCTGATATAATCAAAAAGAACCAAAAGTATATATATGTGAGTTTTTGCTCTTTGTTGAAGGCCGTACCGTGAACTGTTGTTGTTCATAACCTTGCCCTTTGGAGAAGAATTATGTCATGGGCAATAGGCTGTCTATCGAAGTTAATGGCCGTGTATCATATATGCACAACTTTCTCTTGTAAAAAATATAAAATACAAATTAAGGAGACCGTAAGTTAAAAACGATTGTGTAATAAAGTAATTGATTTTCGAATACGAATAAAATGTGGAATTGCACGAATGGGATAGCACCCGAATGACACACGTGACGTAACTAAATTAGACATATCAAAAGGTATCACCAAGTATAAAACAGACTTGTGTACACTTTCTATAATGTTTGAAAAGTCTAAGACAATGATTAAGAACTGGACAGCCTGTAAACGTAATTTGTGTTTATGTTCAGTGTTGTTTTGCCTTTATTGTCACTTGCCAGTTACTTTTTTGAAATGAAAAGGAACTTAATTAGCTTACTCAGTAAGATTATGTAGTTTTGGTCTTAAATCAGTCATCGTCAACATATATTTTTTCAAATTGCATAAATCTGGACGTTTATGTGTAGGGATCTAGGTACGTTAAAATAAAAGGAACCCGGAAAACTGAGTGCTGATTTAAAAGGACAATACCCCAGTATTGGGGCTTTAATCATAAAAAGGGGAATTTTTCAGTTTCGGACAATAACTCGAAAATGCTTTGAACAGTTTTCATGAAACTTTGGTGACTGATTTATATCTATTAAAATAACTTAAATCTCCTTTTTTTTTTTATTTCTGATATGAAATTGAGGAGTTATTTTTCGAGGACTCTCTCGACCCGTCCTACATCCGTGTGGTTATGGTTTCCTCATTAATGGCGTCATTGTTTCCAGATTCCTGTCGGGACCTTTTAAAAGGGCGTTCATTTACAGTTTTGCTTCTATACGAATTTTGTTGGGCTTGACGTAGTAGAACATCCCTAAATTCAGTGCCGTTTGGTTTTGTGTTGACTGATACGTGCGGTTTCCCATTGATATATAATTTATCTCTTACCAGTTTTACTTTTTTACCCTCATTCTTGGCCTTCTTCATTACAGGGTAGAGTTCTTTCCGTTTTCTTTCAATTTCAATCGGGAATTGTTCGCTTATCCCAAATTGTTTCCCTTTCAACTTGAATGTATTTTTAAGTACATCTTCAAGCTCGTCTCTGCGGATAAATTTGGCTACAATAGGACGGGCTCCGTTTAGTCCGGGTTTTCCAAATCGATGAACGCTACCGAGATTTACTTTATACGGTATTTCAAGTTCGTTTATTAAAAAGTTCTGAATTTTCAATTGGCACGACTCTTCCCGCTGAAACGCTAACCCGGAGAATACTAGATTATCGCTCATGCTTCTGCATTTTAGATCTAACACTTCGGCTTTTAATTCCTTAATGGCCATGTTTGAGAATATTCCATTATCCTCCCCTATCGTCTCCATCCTGTCTTTTATCTGAGATATCTCTTCAACATTTGCTGAATATTTGTCAACCATAATATGAACGATCTGACCCATATTTTCTACACTTTCTTCGACTTTCCCATTGCGTTCTTGAATTTCGACAATTGTTTCCTCATTTGTCTGTACTCTTGTAGACAAATTTGACAGGCCTTCCTTTATACCATCGATTTTCTGTACTTCTTTCTCTATTTTCTCGATCCTATCCGTTAGAACTCGTAGCGACTTCAGGATTTCCATAAGGATAACTCTAGCATAAAGAAAGCTAAGTGGTTATATCTATAGTACCTCCTTGATAAAAGTAAAGAAATTTAAAAACAAAGTAATTGGTACAGTTTCATTTACCTTTCTTTCCCTTGTCTATCGTCTACGCCTCTTTTGTTTATCAACAATATTTAGTTAAATAACGAATTTAAGGGCCTTCATTAACACAAAAAAAAAACAAACATACTTGACTTTAATACATGTCATCTTCAATCAACTACTCCTGCCTATTTAACAGAAAGCAACCGAATTTTATTATAAGTATATACTTTTGAGAATTTTTTATTTCTAGGGAAAACACATGTTTTTGTAAAAGATTTACAGTAAGCAACTAATCTGTATTTTAGGCCTAAAATATTAAAATATTGTTATGGTAATATAAAATTGAATAGATATACTAACATGTTAAATTTTTTCTTGAGAAGGCTATATATTTCTTCTTTGTTAATTTCATTTTATGTTTATTTCAGCTCTGTGGACTAGGAGTTTTAGGAATAGGAGTATGGATCCGTATAGATATGGTTGAATTCGATGAGTTACTAGGAAAGTCTATGGTTCCTATTGCTGCTTATGTACTTATTGCCGCAGGAGGTGTTGTGATGCTGATTTCATTGGTGGGATGTCTAGGAGCGTTGAAAGGGCATAGAGTTCTGCTTGGTCTGGTCTGTATATAAAATACAATTAAAACATGACTGCATGTACTGTTATGAAATTGAGGAGTCACGGGAGACGTTCCATATTGAGTTGATATTGTTTCTTTAAACATTTAAAGCCATATTTCAATGGCAATTATTTTTTGAATATTTAGGGTGAAGTCAAATTGTACCATCAATCATGTAAATTCTAAAAGGGTATGTAAAGCATTAAGTTATTTAGCAATGAACAGTACGACACGTCATAATCCTGGGATCATAGTAATACTTGTTTTGATATTATCTGTAATATGGAGTCAAAGACTTGATTGATATTATGCATATTATGAAGTTTTGGGTTCCAGAACGGACCCCCCCCCCCCCCCCCCCCCCCCCCCTGTTTAGGTCACAATGTCACTCTTAATCAAACCATACAGTTCTAAACTGATCTAATTCTCAGTCATAAACATTTTTAAAGGTCACAGGTCTTTTCAAATGAGATTCAGATCGCCAGGTCGCATGACGGATTTGACCATGTTGGAGCAACGTATTTCATGTAGACCTGTTTATCTTTAAAACCACGTTAATTTTATCTGCCAATTTTATGCTCTATTATTGTGTGAGACTTTTTATGAATTAGTAACCGCCATTTCCAAAATCTTATTTTCTTTGCGTGTTTTATTTTTTAGAAATATGTATAATTCTTGTATATTTCTAGATATAAATAAGAAGATATGGTATGAGTGCCAATGAGACAACTCTCCATCCAAGTCACAATGTGTAAAAAGTAAACAATTATAGGTCAAAGTACGGCCTTCAACACGGAGCCTTGGCTCACACCGAACAGCAAGCTATAAAGGGCAACAAAAAGACTAGTGTAAAACAATTCAAACAGGAAACCAACTAGAGTTTATTTTATAAATAAGGCAATGTTTATGTTTCCAAGACAATAATAAAAATCGGACATATTTATCTGAATATTTGCTAATCTTAAAAACATATAATACCAACAAATAAAAACATCCAAGATGGCGGTCCATATACATTCTCAGTATATATCTGTAAAATTGTTAATTAACATAAGTTATAAGATATACAGCTGATGATTTATTATGTTTTTATTTCAGTATTTTATATTTATGTTGTTTATATTCATGATGGAGGGTGCTGCTGCTGTTATGGGGGCACTGTTCTATGATCAGGTAATGTGGTTTGATATCAGGACTAGTTGAAAAGGACTGCGGTTTATTATCTTTCACAAAGGTCAATTAGGTTACAACATGCTTCAGACAGTAGCGAATGAAACCGCATCGTTGCTCTTACTGCATTCTTTAGCTGATGTACAAAGTTCACCTTTTTTCTTATACCTTTAATGAATAGTAAATAAACTAACCGTAGACTAATTAACGGTTTGTTTGATTTTAAAATAATGGCTTTTTACTTCCTATTTTCTGCTTTGGTAACCATTACCTGCTAACACTTTATGTACAAATGTTTCTCTCTAATATCATTACATTTCTGAAGAACACATTTCTGTGTACACTTAATTCGCTGGATGTTTGATAGCTGATTCAATGTAATTTCTGTTTGGAAAATGGTTAAAATTTCAAGTTTGCATTGGCATCTTATATAATACAAACTTTTTAGCAATTTTCAGTGGTGCTTATTTTCATAGAAATTGTTCTGTATATCACAGTTTTAGTAGAGAACATTTAAGTTTAACCTATAAAAAAAAGGCATCAAAGAATGTGACAAATAATTTTGAATGTTCATGCTATCAAGTCAAATGAAATAAAAGGATAAAAACCCTGGAGAATTAATCAACTCAAAATGTCTATCAAAATGTAAAACGTATCATGCTAGAGGAAAATCTGTTGCTACTGGGTGCTATATATAAATGTTAAAGATACGAAATTTATCATACCATGTAAGGTTTTCGACCTTTGTTTTAGGCAAAACCGTTCATGTCGACATACGTGGAAACAGCCATGATGACGAAGTATGGAGATCCTGATTATGAACTGGTTACCAAGTCTGTGGATACACTTCATCAAAAGGTAACAGTTGAAAAACGAGATTTGTTTTTTCTGTTGTTTAACTCGGACATCTGTAGTTTTAACATGGTTTCGCAGTCTTAATTGAAGTCGTAAATTTAATAATTAACAGATAATAAGACAAAAAAATAAAAAAGTAAAAATGAAATATCAACTGACCAATGGCAATGGTTGACTGAGTCTGGAATTTTTAAAAACCGGTAGTTAAACCCATGATAAAGAGGGATATTCACTTGACTGTGCGGGATGTATAAATACGCAGTCACGTCTATTCGGAATGGCGGCGTAAAACCAGATAGATGCCTCGTGTAGGGAGGATGTCACGCTTTCTAGACGTTGAACTCTTGCTACAACTATTTGATGGGTCCATAGGTGAATTGCTACCAAAAAAACGAGGATGTTAACAACTCTTAAGTCATCGTAAAGCCTTGAACATGTCTGAATATCTAACATACACTATTTATCAAGTGCAAATCTACATTTATAGCCTTTCATTCTAGTCGAACTTACTATTATATTAATTGATAATCTGTATTCGTCTATGAAATATTCAGCAAACAATCAATCATGTTCTTCAATACCAACTCTCTTATTTCGTTGCCTATCATTTCATTTTCATTTATCTGTGTAAAAGAAGCTCGATAAAAGAAGCTCGGTTATACAACGGATGTATAAAAATTGAATTGGCTGATTGGTAAATTTTTTTTTCAGTTCAAATGTTGTGGCTTTGATGAACCAGAAGACTGGGATAATGCCACATCTTTCACCGGTGCCACAGTTCCTGTATCTTGTTGTAGAAACCAAAACCAGCCTTCCTGTAACACTGCTTACAACAGTACTAATATTTATGATCAAGTATGTCCGTTTTGAAGCCATATGGGGACCCCTAGATGTATATTTTGGTGAACTTACTTTATGGGGTTGCTGTCTCCTGGCATTAATATAACATCTTTTTATTTGAATATGTGTGTGAGAATCTATAGTTCTATGACTGAAGCAAAAAAGACAAAATTTTCATATATTACTTATTCCAATGACGTCATTCTCTGTATTAAGCGCTTCTTTCCAACTTTAAGAAATGAATCTTAGTTGTTTACGAATTCCCTTTCGATTTTAATGTAATGGTCACGGGATCGTGCTAATTATTATTTGTCAAATTCTTTGACTATTCAGCTGTCTACGCTTGAGTTAAACCATAAATAGTATACATGTATTTTTAAGTGAATAATATCATAATCCCGTATTTCAGCATTAAATGTATCTTGCAGTAAGTAATTTCTAACGATCGATTTTTAATACAACTCTATGTAACAATCTGGGTTTTTTGTTTGTAGGGTTGTGTAGACGCACTGTCAGACTGGATGACCGGTAACCTTATTTATTTACTTGGTGTAGCTATAGCTGTTGCCTTATTTCAGGTAAATTCTTTTGGGTATTGACAAGTATAGCATCGGGTTATTTATTTTTTACCAATAACAACTGGATGTTACTATAAATATTAGTTTCAGCAGTCTAGTAAATTTGAAAAAGGTACAATTTTTACATTTTTCTTTGTATTAGGAATACTATACAGTAGCAGCATCTGCTTGTATCAAACCAGTCTATTCCAGAAACTATTTAAAGGGGTGGGATTCTAAGATGTTTCACCTGGAAAAAAGTGGAATTCCAGTCATATCTTGCACGATTTTTAAGTAATATAAAAAGAAGATAAGTCGAGGTTTCAATCTGACAGCGGAAACGACCCCGTCTGTGTCCATCAGTTCAATTGTACGAAATAATTTCCATTTACATGCATATCATTTGGAAAAGGAATCTGTGCATATGACGGGTGTTAAAAATTAGGAAACTTAATAAAAGACAAGTATTCATTGTATGGAATGGAATAGCTGGAGAATTCAAGGCTTTCAGCAAAGACGCCAATATGTCAAATTAAGCTCAAGGAACAGTTAACGGGCTATGTTCCAGATTTTGGCTCGTTGAACTTTAACTGAAAAATCGAAAAAAAATGTATTTATCTCTTGTATTCTCTAAAATAAAGTTACTGATTAAATTCTTTCACAATAAATGTCATAGTCAATTTACTGTAACTTGACCCTTTAATCAGCCTTCTGTATTTCCCCAGTGTTACTTATATGATGATTAATCAACATAGATATATATATATATTCTTTCAGATACTAGGAATGGTGTTTTCTCTATGTCTGATAAAACAAGCTGGCGATGACAACTATGTTTAGAGTATTTTAAAAACTATCCATTATAAATAGCATATTTTTAATATTATGTTTGTATTAATTTACTTGTTATGTTATTAAAATGTTTTGCATATACTTATTATTTGAAATATATACATTGTAGTTGGTACCATTCTTTTATATTTGTAATGATTTGCAAACTTGCGTACATTGTAAAAAGGAGATGTGGTATTATTGCCAAGGAGACAACTATCCATCAAAGTTCTAATGAAGTGGATGTAAGCTATAGACAACCGGACTGCCTTCGACAATGAGAAAACCCCATACCGTTTAGTCGGCTATAAATGGCCCCGACATGAAAAATATGAAACAATTCAACTGAGAAAACTAACGGCCTAAATTCTTGACAAAACGATTCACGAAAAACAAATATGAAAGACCTGAACCAACGACAACCTCTGAACTACAGGCTCCTGATTTGGGACAGGCACATATAGAATATGGTGGGGTTAAACATTTGGTTGGATTGATGGATTGTTAATTTTTTTATGCCAAGTGTTAAATATTTCATTCATATTCAGGAATGTTAAATAAATTAATTGATAGGTTCTGGACTGAAACTTATACATAGGCCTTTACCATGTTTACGTGAAAAGAGTTGTGGCAAGAATTTATATAGTAAGTATAAGAATAAGAGTTTTATTATTCTAATCAAGAATCCATAAAGGGCATCATTTTACAACAACAATATGCACAATATAATTGGCAAAAAAACATTAACAAAAAACAAGAACCTAATATAATTCTATCATGTTATGGACAGGATCAGAGCCTAACACATCATGTGTCTTTATATAACTATTACAAAATATCTCATAATAATCAAATATCATTTATATATTATGTTTCCATCTGGATCTTATTTCTAAACACAGAATAATATAATTTCCTAGGCACATAAGAGTTGGTTAATGCTCATTTGTGAACAGCCAGAAGTATTTTTTATCCTTGGGTAATTCTTTAAAATTAGTACAAAAACTATTTACTTTATCCAAATAAAATACACATATATATTTTTATAAAGTATATAAATCCTTGGTTGTGGGAAAGGTCACCAACAGACCAATCAAACAGTTGTAAAATATTTTAACGTGGAGAGTTAGTGACACTGTACGAACACTGGGCATAATTAAATTATGAAAATAGATGTGGGGTATTACTTCAGTGAGACGGCAACCTCTAAACACAATATAACTAAGATGAATAGCAAAATATGGTCTTCAATAGAAGATGAAAATATGCAGTCCACAAAATATGTCATCAATGAAAAATCTTGTATAGACAAAAAAAAACACACTTAACCAGTGACGAAATTCATGATTTGAGCGTGACAGGATTAAACTAGACTAAGATTTTGGTTATAAACAATCCCGTTTTCATCTCGATCCATAGATTAAAAAATATTGCATAGTAGAACCTACATTCAGAATCAATTCAGAAAAAGCTTTAAAATAAAATATCGACATTACAAAACGACAAAAAAACACAAATGTACAGGAAAACAAACCTAGCTAGAAAGAAAACACAAGTATTTGATTTTCTGGTACATAAAGCATGTTTTCTTTTACCAGAGATTTATGATATTACTAGAAAATACCCGCGAAATATACTTTGGTTCATAATTTGAAGATATATAGTTTTGGTGTAAACGAAATACCACCACTCAATATGACACCCAAAAGAATAGTCATTCCGACAAAAACTTACCAATCTTGATCGCATGTTCTTTTTGTTGATGAAATTTCTTGTTTGCAACATTCTATTAGAACCCTGAATCCTTTCGGTGGAACAATATTTTTTGCGCCCCCATCAAATCCTGGATCCGCACCTGATTTCAAGAGTTTCCGTGCTCAGAACCACCCCTATATATGAGTGGGCTGAACATTTTATGCATTAATATGAATGGGGGGAGGGGGGGGGGGGGGTGTCACTTTCCAGCCGCACTTCTGTACCCATTTTTAACCGAAGTAATCCCTCCACCCTTTTCATGTTGAATTACTGCGGTTCCCCGGAAGGAAAAGCTCTTGACGTGTAAAAATCTGTTGTTAAATTGCGTCAAGGGAATGTGTATCACAAAGTGTTTCAGTGTAAGGTCAATCCGCATCTGATTTCAGGTGTTTTCGTGCTCAGAACCCATATATGAGTGGGCTGAAAATTTTATGCATTAATATATGAAGGGGGGGGGGGTCACATTCCAATTTGGTTGTATTGCTGTCAAACCTATAGTGTTTTCAGAAATAGTAAAAAAAAACTACAATTTTCAGTTTGGATAAAATACAGATGGAGTATGAAATCTTGATTTTAGGTATTTTCTAGTTTTTCAGAAGTTTTTTCTTGCCTGTACCCCATAACCTTTCTTTTTCAGTTTGAAATTAGATTGCTGCTTAAGCTTAAGTTATTTGTTTCATATATGTACCGACAATGAATAAAGCCTCTTTGAGTCTATGTCTATGCACGAGTTTGTACGATAGGTCGTGTAAACGAACACTAGTATAAATAATTCACAATAGTGTCCAATGTATATAAAATCTAACAGAAGAATCATTTATATTTATACAAGTACCTAATACTTAATCTGGTTAGGATAATTTTAATCTGTCCTCACCTTATCCGTATAAACAATTCATTAACAAACTTTTAAAAGATAACATGAAACAACTTAGGCCAAAGCAAGTATAAATAACTCATCAAATATATCAGGCTTGTAATTTTGTACGTCAGACGCGCGTTTCGACTACAAAAGACTCATAAGTGACGCTCGAATAAAAAGTTAAAAGGCCAAATCAAGAACCTTGGGGACCCAAATTTAAAGGTTTTGCCAATTACAGTCCTTGGTAGAAAAATCAATGAATGCTGGACTGTTCAAGAATATTAATTATTTTTTTACGACCTTACAATGTAGCAGTTCGAGTGGCAACATCACCTCATCCGCCTTAAAAAAAAACATTTGAGAAGTATTGTTATAAATACATTTGTACAAAACACTTTCTGTATGTCTTATGGGGAATCATACCAAAAACATACATAGGCGTCCTTGTCAAACAAACGACTTCCAATTACTTGAATGGACCAAACCCACGTTGGCTATACTAAATTTACTCGAAAACTAAGCCTTTTCGTATAATAATCCTGCAAGTTATAACAAAAAAACAAACTGGTCGATTTTATGCTATAAAATGAGATATTACGCACCCCCAAGAATCTGCCACTAAAACCTTACCCTACCCTAATATTAATCCTCACCATAATTTCATGATTTTCATGAAGGTAAAAGACCGTATAGAAAAAAAACCAACCCAATTTTTCTAAATGTACTAAACCAAAAAATTACACGAACTGGATTCGTTTTGCGAAACTGTGCAGCAGAAACAAATGCTTGATATAGTAATGAAATTGTCAGTAGAGGTTACACATACATTAATTGTAGAAGTCCATACACAAAACTTCTGTTAATGTGAAATGACCTGTAAAGTATAACAAGACATCTCAAAAATTGAATATTTTGGTTTTGTTTCATTTTTTGACTGGCCTAAAAATTATCAGGACTCACTTTATTTTGAAAGTGGGAGATTTTCATTGAGTGCTCAGTGTTGACAAGTGATACAAAACGTCATTACCTGCAAATTATCTGACGAAGTTAGGATGTGTATCTTTAAAATGACTTTTAAATGGATTTAAATGAATCAACTTCTGACAAAAGTGTATAAAAATTTCTGTGTTTTATGCAAAAAGACGTTTTTTTGTTACACAGAAGTAATACATCGTTTGCACTTATAAAGCAAAATATCTCTTCAATACTAACATTATTGTTCGTTCAGTGTTTTGATTTGAGAACCAATAAGTATTGGAATAGATTTTTTTCTTCTCTCTCTCTTTTCTCATCTTACATTGAATATTGTGCCAATGTTTTAAGCTGAAAGAATGAATCTCTCCAACAAACAGCGATACTAAGGACTTCAGTAAAAACTATGATTTTCATTGGATTTTGATATTTTGTGATATTTTTTTTCGAGCAATTTGAGATTTGTTGCAATATTACTGATATTCGTATGTTTCAAAATATGACAAAACTATGACAGGGTGTTGTAGTTATAAGTGTGTGAAGAGGTCTGTCATCTTCTTCAACGTATTCTTTTGGGTATGTATCTATATATATATAGCAATCTAATTAAGTAAATGTAGAATTAATTATAAGGATTTTGATTACATGCAATTAAAGAATCAATAACAGTACCAGCAATTAGATTGTGTACTGTCACCACATGTAATTTCAAAACTGTTACTCCCTTTAATGCTTTGATATAGATTCAAGATTCAATAGTTTATTAAAGTCTCACCACATACATACAAGTATAAACACATTATAATATCAAGTACACAATATAAAAATTTAGAATGCATGTGCCATTCTTAAAAGAACTATGAGAGACTGTTATATACAATTATAAAACAACAGAATTAAAACATAATTTTGTTATTTACACAAAACATAAAAGTGCAATATCACCATGCACATTCAGGGATAAATAGATATAAGAAGATGTGGTATGAGTGCCAATGAGACAACTCTCCATCCAAGTAAAAATTTATAAAAGTAAACCATTATAGGTCACAGTACGGTCTTCAACACGGAGCCTTGGCTCACACCGAACCGTAAGCTATAAAGGGCCCCAAAAAATCACTAGTGTAAAACCATTCAAACGGGAAAACCAACGGTCTAATCTATATAAAAAACGAGAAACGAGAAACACTTATGAACCACATCAACAAACGACAACTACTGAACATCAGATTCCTGACTTAGGACAGGTGCAAACAAATGCAGCGGGTTTAAACGTTTTAATGGTACCAAAACTTCACCCTTTTTCTGAAACAATAGTGTAACATCACAACATAGAAAGACACACTATAAAAATAAAACCTGTTACATGTACATAAAAAAAAAATAACAATGATTTTTTTAACAGTATAAGATACTATTTCGTCGCAATAAAATATTATGGCAGGTTTTGGCAACAGAACTACAAACATTTTCATTTTTAAACAAAAATATAAATTTTTCATCATCTGACAAAGTTAAAAACATATTATTATGTTGAATTATATCAATAAATAAAGACTGCCTTAAATCTTCATATAATGGACATGTTAACAGTACATGTTTTTCATCTTCTATATCATCACAATTGAAACATAATCTTTTATCTAAATCTAATCTTTCGTAACGACCAGTTTCAATTTTTAAAGGTGCTACTCCACATCTAAATTTCGCATATGCACTGCGATATCAAATAGGTATATTTTGCAACAAATATTGTTCAGAAGGGTATGAAAATTTAAACAATTTATAAGTTCTCAACTTATTTCCTTGACCATAAGAATCAAGCCTTGTACTCCATTCAGTTTTATAATTATCAAAAATATTAACTTCTAACTGATAAATTATATTTTTATCCAGTATATAATCATCTACATTACAAAATCTGTCCATATTGTAAAGTTTCAACATATCTATAACTTTATAACTCCAATTTTTAATTTTATAACTACTTTTTCTAATTGACCATATAAATACTTTATAATTTATCCTGTCTTTATCCATTTTTGTACATCTTGCCCAGTGTCTTAAAATGTTAGACCACTGTTTAACATATGGAGGCTTCCAACCCATGTCACCTGAAACAGCATCATTGGGGGTATACTTTCCAACTCCCATATAAAATCTCATGGCTCGGTTCTGAACTGCTGAGATGCAGGAGAACTCACTTGTACCCCAAATAGCTGAGCCGTAATTGATGACTGACCAAACTAAAGTGTCAAACAATTTGGTAAAAAGATATACGAGCTAAGATGGCGTGATCTTTTAAAATTGACGTATCATCGTCTGCCTATTTAATAGAGAATATTTTAAGCTTTAGTTTACTTTACTGAATTATTTTTTAACAAGAAACTCGTGTTTTATTTACCAATCGTGGTGTGGAAAGTAATTTTTTAATGTTTTCTTTTTTGCCTTTTGCGTCGCACATAACTTTAGTTGTATAGTACGCCTACCCATTGCTACTTCTAAATTAAAGCATTAGATTTCAAATTGAATTTGTATTACATTTTCTTATGACAGATTCTTTACCGAGATGCCCCAATCTGTAGGGCCAAATTCCCAAAAATTTATATCACTCCAGGGCTGTTATAAAAACGTCTTTGATTCTTTACTTAAATTCATCGCTCCGTGTGTGTACTTTAAAGTTCTAACAATAAAATGGCTTATTTCTAAAAATATTTCCAAGTTAAAAATGTCTAAAAGATAACTCTAAACCACAAATTTCGACAGATTATGGCAATTGGTTTTAAACAAAAATATATAAGAAGAACGTTTTTAACACAAAAAAAAAATCCTGCATGTTATCAAGTATCTTGAAATGGGGACAGATTAAAAATATTAGAACATGCAAATCATAAGAACGTGGTGGCTTCAATTCACGTGACAACTACTGAATCTGTTGCATTGGAAAATTATTAGGGAGAAGACACAAGACCGAAAGGCAAAAAGGGATAGAGCTAACGTTTATTCTTTAAAAAAAAAGAAGGCAAAATAAGCAGATTAGATGTATTATCCGGTGATCTTTCATTGAAAATAAATTGCTTACGCTCTACACATGACTACAATGTTCACCACTCGCGAATCTTACTGTCGACATCGTGCAAGAGCAGACATGATTTGAATAAAGCAACAATGATACTGAATATATGTTTGCATATACAAATTCGCATAACAGCAAACTTTCTAAAATGTGGTTTTTACCTTCGGATATGGAAAAGGGTGTCTTCTAAATGTTTTTGTGACGCCTGGCAACTCCATTTTCAGCCCCAATGTTTATATAATTTATGAGTATATATAGCTCCCAGGAGGACAAACACGTCAAATTGTTTATATACCGGTTAAAAGATAGGGTGTTGCTAGAGGTCTATCTAAATCTTAATTACTGTTTATGTAACATAAAGAAGTTTGACATTTGAAAACGTGCAGACCTACGGTATTTCCTTAAAATATTTGATAGACATCCTAGGCTTCTAATGAATCTTACTAAGTCAGCTAACACAGAAGTGTTAGTTAATAGACGGAAATGTGTACGTATTGCCCATTAGATAAATCCCTCTTGTGAATAAATTTACCAAAAATTGATCTAAAGTATAAGAATAAACTCAGTAAGGACGCTCGAATAAAAAAAGGTAAAAAGGCTAAATAGAGTACGAAGTTGAAGAGCATTGATTTCTACTGCTTGCATGCACTGCGTGTGCACATGAAGCCAGGCCATTGGTTCAAAATAACTGCATCTGTATTATATTCGATAGAGTGTCTTCGACACGTATTCATGAAGTTTTATTTATCGGAATATTCAAAAAGAAACTGGTTTGAAATAGAAATGTTCCATTAGATGTTGAACCAGTGTTTTGATGGAATGAAGTTCAAAGTTGAAGAGCATTGAGATATACTGCTTGCATGGACTGAGTGCACATGGATCCAGACCATTGGTCCACAATAACTGCATCTGCATTATATTCCATAGAGTGTTACGACACGTATTCATGAAGTCTTATTTATCGGAATATTCAAAAAGAAACTGGTTTGAAATAAAAATGTTTCATTAAATGTTGAACCAGTGTTTTGATGGAATGAAGTTCAAAAGTTGAACTGTCAGTCTCCATATCATCAGCCAAAAAAAAAAATCCGAGAACGTCCAAGTATTTTAATTATATATCTTATTCGCCCAAATTACACTCATAGGAGAGTCACGGGAATTACATATAATCATTACAATTTAAAATAACAACATCATCATCATGTCGTTTACATAAAGTAAACTGAAATATTAAACACAAAACACAACACATGACCTCAAGTGCCTCCTATCATTAGTCCCATAAACTGTTTAATAGAGGAGCCCTTACGATTTCATTTGCTGGCTAGTAGTTGGATTAAGAATATATTTGATTTTATTGCCAGAAAAATCTTTACATTGGGTTTTTAAGATAAAAAGGACATGTCTAAAATCATTATTTAATAGAAAAGGTAAACACCATGGGAACGACAAAGTTGTAAATTGAATAAATGGTCCCGATGGACACTGGACGACGACCTTTTTTTTTTAAAAATATTTGCCTTGTTCCATAACTAATGTAATGTTTGCTGTAAAATCTAGTTTGATATCAGAAACATCCAAATTAAAGAAAACCATGAATTATGAATCGTTTTATATTTTAACCAGCTGTCATTTTTAGTTCACAGGACCTGGCATTTTAAGCCTGGGGACGTGGTATATGTTGAATATAAAGATATACTCCCCGATAGTGGACAAAGGATTGTACATTATTCCGGCTTACGTTGTCATGGCAGCAGGGGTAGCGGTAACTCTGTTTGGGATTGTAGGATGTTTAGGTGCCATCAACGATAACAGGTGTATGATATCTTTCGTAAGTTGTTTATCAAGGCTTCAAAATGAGGCACAATTGCGCTTTGAATCGCCTCGGTAGTGCTCGCTTCGAGTGCGATAGGACGTGGTTTAAACCCAGACTGGTTCGTCAATCTAGACAGACTTTAATATTGGTATTGCCGTTGAACAGTTATGGATCAATCAATCAATCAATTACTCTCCGCTAAGTAAAAATTTTGAAAGTTTCAAGACAAAATATAGAAAACGATGTACTTAGCGAACAAGATGATCGGAAGTGCGGCGATTATATATCGATGATAAAAGATGGTAAATACAAGGACCAAGGGTGAAAGTTGATACAAAAAAAAAATATAGAAAAAGAAAAGTAGAAAATGTAAATAAAACCGTCTTATTTTGTGAAATATCTAATTAGTTACTTGATGAAAACACTAGATTCGAGTTAACAATGATCTTGTGGATAGACTGAAAATATTAGAACATCGTTATTCTCATATGAGCTTATTTTTTAATAGCACGCGAGTTAATATAGATTAGAATTTTAATCAGATTGCAGAATCTATTGCTTTGAATAACTTTCTGAGGGGATGGAATTTTATAAGGGACGATCAGAGACCGGCTTGAAATTAGGAGGTCAAATATTTCTTTGAATCAGGGACAAAATGATCGAAAAAATCCTACACCAATTATGGCCAACCTAATTTTATGAGAAAAAAAAACTCTTATTTTTTTGTGAAAAATGACTTAAATCGGGATTAATGCAATATTGCACTTCAAATTCTAAAAAAAACTTCTTTTGGTTTAGCTGTTTCATTGGCGATTTTCAGTTTAGATATTCATAACTTTGTCTGAAGGGCGGTTTATGTTGCGGGAAACCAAACTTTCATTTGAAAATAATAGATATTATTATAAAAAAATCAACCGATTCTATAGCCATGAGCGATCGAGTACACAGAACACTACTGAAATTTGTCGTTTACCATCTTCTTTCTTTTATTTCAGTTTTTTACTTTTGTATTGATTGCATTTGGATGTGAAGTTTTCTCCACTGTCAAGTCATTCTTAGTTTATGACAAGGTACGTGTTTAGATGACAGAGTTTTGACATCGGTAAACAACACAGTTATCGTCAGTAAAACATCCGATCCACCTTAATGCATTAAGATCTTAAATCTGCAGTTAATCTTTTCTAATTAAAAAACAATGACAAAGTCGGCAATTAAGGCTTTGGAAATGTTTGACTGTTACGGTATTACTCATTACAATGCTTACATTTGTCATTGGTTGGGACATCCTGGTAGGGAATAACACGCTTTTGGTATGTGGAATATAGGGGGAGTTGATATGTCAGTTATAGTTGTTAAAACAGTGGGATCTGGGGAAAAGAAGGAAAAAAGTGGGAAGTGGGAAAAGAACTCCAAAAAAGTGGGATGTGGGAAATGAGCACTCCATTTATCCGTTTTCTCATCTACAATTTTGCACTAATTTTATGCAACCGAGATACAACTCTTAACATTTTGAATTTGCAGTTAAATTATGATTTAAGTAATGAAAAGATTACCTATAAGATATTGTATAAACAGATTGATACATGGCCTTTTCCATATCCGTCCGGGTATCACCCCGAGACACCCCACATCAGCCCGAGACGAATGTCTAGGGCTGATATGGGCCAATGGATGATACCCGGACCGACATGGAAAAGGCCATGTATTAATCTTTTTTCCTATAGTACCGATGTACGAACGTACTCAGGCTGATAATCCCATATCAGCCGGACCACGTGACGTTACATAGGGCTGATATAGGGTTATCAGCCTGGGTCACGGTGAATTTATAGCTAATTTACTTCCGCTCGTTACATATAACCAAAGACTATCATATTAATACTAAGTGTATGATAGAACATAGATGTATACATCTATGGATAGAATAAGATAATAATTTTCACTGAATACTGATCACGTCAACGTCATCGGAGAAATTTTTCATTATCAAATTATCATAACTCATATCAAGTTAGGATCCACAACTTCCTATTCAAAATTACGAATATGATTATTCATCATTGCCATTTTTATGCAAATAATTTAATGTCTTACAAATAAAAAATAAACCACGTAAAGAGAAGGCGTAGAGATAAAGCGAAAAAAAAAAGAAAGAAGATAAATACAATATACGAAGAGTATATCTTGGATTTCGTGTATATTTTAGGTTTCATCGTCCATAGAAATGAGATTAGAGTATAGTATGAAATACCTGTATCACTACAACACAGAACATTCTGATGTAATCAACAGCATACAAAGAGAAGTAGGTACATACTACACCTAATCTAAATATACCACCGAAGGAAACTTTGCTTTTACAGTTGACATAGTAGTAGATATTCATTTATTGATTCGCGCAAGGTACCACTACGTAGTGTCGACGTTAACTGTTCAAGAAAAAAATTGTTTTTTTTTTTATAATATTTCTTAATATTTATTCTTATTATACCATTACGTTATTTAAATCGTGTGTTATCAACATCTTATTGATCGTATATATATTCATATTTCCTACACATTCCAACAAATATAATCTGTCTTGGATTATGTTCATCATATACTCAGTATGTCCTTAAAAAGAAATGAATTGTTAATATAACATGATGAATGGTTGAGTTGGTGTTTAACGTTCAATGGCAAATAATTTAATTTTGGATGTAACACGTCTTCTGATTGGCTGAAAGTTTGTTGTCTATCAGCTCAAAGACATAATTTTGTCATGTGACCGTGACGTCTTTAACGTTTTTTTTTCATGATTTACTCCCTCAAAAATGGAATTTAGAATTAAATTATAAGGACTAACTAGAATATGTTTTCTGTCTATATATACCCTAATAAATGTGGTTCACATTTTTAAAAAACCAGCTACGCGGGTTATTCAGTGTGCACCACATTTTCATAGACAGAAAAAATATTACAGTCATTCCTTAAATGTAACATGCATATTAGGAGAAGAGTATGTGATGTGAATATGAACAAGACCGACACCCTGACCCAGATTTATAACGTGATAGTTCACAAGGTAACTTTGCAAAGGAAGATTTTTCACTATAAATGCCCAGACACATAACATTTCTACTCCAAGTCGTGGAAATTAAGTATTTTGACTTCCTGAAGACTTTCATTTTTTAAATCAAAACTACATCCCTCGTTATATCAAACCATCAATACTAAATGCATAGTCTTGAATTGTGTAATCTGATATGAATGTCTGTTTTAATAATTTTCTTAAAATTTCAGCTGAATTGTTGTGGTCTTCATAAATACAGTGACTGGCAATACTATCGTTACTATAGAGATGTCAGTCTAGCTGTGGCGAGAGGGAGAGAGACGGTTCCAATCAGCTGTTGTCGAGATACAGCCGGTACTTTATGCAATGTTGGAAATAAAGTACCACGTGATTTAAGAAAGATATATACAAAGGTATATGTCAGTTATTTGTATATATATAGTGCCATCAAATTATCACTTATTGTGTGTCGCCTGTTTGATAGTATGTCTAAGTTTCTCATTTGTGCAAAGTCATACAACTATAAGCTTGTTATTCATAGAGTTGTTTTGTGTCATTGTCCACAAATATCGGTTCACTCGAATACTGTATATGATAAAAAAATATATCTAATGGAATATATCTAATGAAATTGTGTAGGTATGCTTTGAAATATGCTGAACATCTGTTTTATTTACCATTTTCCGTTGAATTTCTTTTGTTTTCTTCTTTTTATACATCTTGCTATCATACTGCACACTTTTTTTAGTTAGATATTTCATAAATTTCCCACACCTAACCAATGGAAATACTTGCAGAGGCAAACTTAAGCATGATTAGATAATCTGTAAATTAATTACCAGAGTAATAGATATTATAGGAATGATCAAATATAATAATTTGGTGTTTTCGGTTGTTAAAAAAGTTCAATAAAACCCATTATACTGTGATATTTACATTGACTAGCTTAATTAATTACAGTTTATTTCAGGGTTGTCAGACTGCCCTTGAAAACTGGATACAAAGTAATATGCTTATTTTTGGATGGACCTGTTTTGCAATGAGTTCTGTGCAGGTTTGTAATACATACATCTTATTTTGTAAAGAATATTAGACTGTTTTGACTTTTGAATACTTTTGATTCCTATACATATATTGACAAACTTATTTAGAAAAAAAATACAGAAATAACAACCAATGGATTATACGTGAATGATTTACTTGTATCATAGCAATTTTACTTGGGTCGATATTAAATGTTTAAAAGGAAAATATGTCATAGCAGTTATAACAGTAACTGAAAACTTACTATATTTAAAAAGCTATATATTTTTTTAAATTGCCAATGATTCTGGAAAGGGTTATTATTTTTAGCATTTCTTCGCTGAATATTAAATACGATCCTTTCGATACTTTCCTGGAAGAAGAGTAACGAACGAGATTTACATTATTGAATATAACCATATATTTCACAAGTTTAACCTTTACGAAATGGTACGGGATGCATCGCAGTATCATAAGTTGCGCATTGACATAGTGTCTACTTCTGACCAGTTATCGATGGACTCAGATGTAGATTAGATAGGTTTCAGGTTGACTCTGGGCACTGTTTGGACAGATTTCTGGTCGAATAAGGGTTCCCTTTCAAGAAGGTTTTTGGTTGAATAAAGGTTCATGTTTTACAAGGTTTTTAAGGTTTTCAATTTTCTCTCTGAGGAAAACTAGCTGGTTTGATGAAAATTGCATTTAGACAGGTTTCTTATTTGCATAGGTCTCTGTTAAGAAGGCTTTTTGATTAACTCAGATTATACGTAAAAGATCTTCATTTTCTGCGCATGATTGCCTTATGTGGTTAACATTTGAAAATGTTTTAATAAAAAAAATGAATTTTATTTTTGATGTACTTTTTCAGATACTTGGAATGGTATTATGCTGTTGTTTCTATAAAGCAATGAAAGATACAAGAAGATAACACAGCGAAACACCACTGACAGAATAGAACAATTATTGTGTTATTTATCCTTCTACACACTGTAAAAGGAGTAGGTTCGATAACACCCTTAAACGGCCCCTATTTCTAGCTACAATTTCAAATTAGGATTTATTGACCAATATCACAATGAATCATAGCTAATACAATGACTAGATAGAAAATATGTCTTTTTGTTGAAAATTTACGTACTTGCGTTCTTTTCATAATGTCACAAATAGCACTCATTTTGATTTTCAACGAAAACGGGTAAATTTCCAATGATTTTTTGGACAGGAAACATAGAGCGCATGCGTCGACAAAAAAGCCTTTTTAACAAAATGTTTTTTTATCACATTTTACATATCTGAATTGAATATTTAGTTTGTCGACGCCTGCGCTCTATGTTTCCTAGGCCTTAATTTGGTTGAAATCTGGACGATTTGGTCAAATTTCGCAAAAATCTCTGTTTTTGACCAATTTGGGATGTAAAAATCAACGCTTTAAAACTAAAACTTTGACAAAAAAAGTTCTATTCAACTTTCTCACATGTCTTTTTATCACTTTAAAACATTTATTATCTTGATACTTAAACTTTAAACTTAATAATCGGGGCCAAATATGACCCTTACCGAACTTACTCCTTTAGGGTCCATAGAGGATCATATAGCCAAATTGGAATGTCCTGCATAAATAGAACTATTTTTTATTCAATATAAGAGCAGATATTGTCATTACTTAGCTTGTTTTTCTCATTTTATAATTTGTAATAATTTAACACAATACTACAAAGGAAATTACCTTAGAATCACGAACAGTGAATGAAATGAAGGCTCTAACCACTCTTTTAAATGTCACAAGTTACTCTAATTTGATGCCATGTCAGTCAACCGTTGCAGGATGTTCTCATTGTTTCTATATTTATTGTTAAACGCAGGCTTCGGGCAAGCTCAGCGTATCCTACCAGAAGCTCTTATGATTTCATTATTATGACTGACGTTATACGAGCTTCAACAGTTGGGGCATTCTTGGAACTTATTTTAGATAAAGAATACATGATCGTTTGAGTGAAATGTCAATGGTCATTTAAACAAATTACCACAAAAATAAAGAAACAATTTGAATGTTAAAGATATACCAGATAACCACCAACTATATGTATTGTAAAAACCATCTATCTTATGTAAAATATATGTAGATCTAACATGCATAATATTCATCCATTATATAAAATATGTGTCTTTTAGATAGCAGTTTACATAAATTTTCGATTGTGATACATTTTATGACTTTTTTTTTCTGTGCTGGAAATGTTGGAAACCGTTACTAATTTTGTTCCAGTTACGGTGACTTGATTGTCAGTATTGCTATCCGTCTATTACAGTACATTCAAAATTCTGACTCGTATGAATTTTGTTCTTAAACTGTTCAACTGGTTAGATATTTTACCAATCTGCTCTAGAGCACACGTCAAGTCGTCAATGTAAGTGGGCAAAAGTGAACTTACAATCCCGTATTTTAGAAAAGGAGGGCCACCAAGGCAACGTTTGGAATGGGACTTGTAACAAGTTTATGTATATATATATATATATATATATTTATAAATTATATATTTATATATATATAAACAAGTCTAAATTGAAAACAACGCTCAAACCTATGATTGCGTTGGATAAAAACCGCAATTTTGATACGTGTGCATGCAAAACAAATTTCTTGGTAGAGGGGTCTAAATACAGCACAAACAACATTTTCCAAAAGACCAAATGAGTGAAAAAGTATATTTAAACAAAACGCATTTGACTAGCAGGTCGAACAACTGATGTTCTTAAACCCTGGCTACATATGCTACATATATATATATATATATGTAGCCCCATCAATATAGAAAGCCTCAAGGGATTTACAAAATGTTATACTGAAGCTTTTAATGTTAAGTTAAGACGGCTTGATGATGAATCGAGTCATCAAAATGCTAACTTTAAATTACAATATGCGTTATGTTGACTTGTAATACATTTCTAATTGCAAGAGCTTTAGTCTTGATAGCATATGATAAACGATATGCCAATTACACGTTATGTTGAGTTTAAAGTTAGTACATGATGGTAACTTGCAACTGGGTAATGCTTTGTCATCTAGTTCTATAGCAATGATAACAAATAAAATGAGGAGCTAAACTTTATGGTACTTAATTGTTATAAATGTTGAGCTGAGATAGCACGATATAATATCATTTTGATTTTACGATAAGTTATCATACAATTTTGATTTAAAACTACAAGATAGCACATTGGTACACCACTTTAATGTAACGAAAGGCTTAACATAAAATATGCCTTCTTTAAACTACACAATGTATTGATGAAAGTATATGATGTTAAGCCAAGATAGCACGAGGCAAAATGATATACCGGTACAAGGGAGATTTTAGATGTATTTATAAAGCGAGAGTATAACGCATCGCTATACATAACACTTGATTCACATATTTTATAAGTTTTGTTTGGATTTTTTTTTAAACGTTTGCACTGAAAAGATCTTTTTAAAAATGAAAATCTCTCAGAATTGCTTTATGAACCTCACCCCCTTTCATTCACACAACGTTTACATATTAAGCTTTGTAACTCTTAATCTTTGTAAACACATATATGTCTCTGGCAAAGAGGACGACTTTTTGAAAATAGTTCTAGTGTGAAGTACATTCAGGGGGGGGGGGGGGGGGGGGGAGGGAGGGGGGAAATTGGTCCTACTTTGTTATTGATTAAATTATATTTACACGACCAAAAAAAATTCAGAGGAAATGCAAATTCTTAAGCTTTCTGATTTTATTTAGTGTGTTTCCTCTAGAAAATTTCATCTGCTGTGGCAAATGATCTACTAAAGGTTAGGACTGTGAAGGTCAATTTTTACTCATAATATTAAATCCGTGCCAGAGTTATCAGAGAATTTGAATTAACTATCCCCTTTTCCACCAAATAAAACAAAGGAATGTGGACTTGCTATAAAAAAATTCAACTGATCTGACAAATGATACACTAAAGCGTAGGACATTGAGGGTCAGAATTATAAGAAAAAAAACAAGAGATAAACTTATTGATTTAAATAGTCTGTAAAATTCAAATTTAACCATATAGATATATGGATGAGTGAAGGTTTAATGTCCAGTGGCAAATATTGTATGCACGAAACCACCGATGCTTTGGGATTTACATAGATTGTCAGATAAGATAAGGATCAAGATGTGGAGACAACTATCCACCAGAATTTAAATGAAGTGGATGTTAGGCGACTTTAGATGAGGTTTCATATGTAGGTCAACTTTTCCTCGTAACATCACATCCGTGTCAGCGTTATCGGGAATTTGTTTACACCTCTTTTCTCCGAAATAAAACAAAAGAACCAAAACCTTGCCCTCCCAACCCTAAGGCGAGCATGAGACCACCGATGCGATTTGGAATTTACATAGATTGTCAAAATAAAAACAAGGAGATGTGGCATCAATGCCAAAGAGACAACTATCCATCAGAGTTCAAATGAAGTGGATCAATGTAAGCAATAATAGGCTAACGTACGGCCCTCAACAATAAGAAAAAGACCCCGACATGCAAAATGTGAAACAATTCAAACGAGAAAACTAGCGGCCTTATTTATAACAACACAGTTTACGAAAAACAAATGTAAGAGACCTGAACCAACGACAACAACTAAACTACAGGCTCCTGACTTGGGACATGCACCAATAATGTGGCGGGGTTATTTGTCAACTAGCCCGTTAAAAATCTGGCTAAACAAGAAGGACTTTTTCAAAGTAAGGTTTATTCATATTAATATCCCTGTAACATGTTCTCGTCCTAAAATGCATGTAATATTTGCCACTGGTCATTAAACAGAAATCTATTATCATTTTTTTGTTTGTGAACAGGAGCCTTTTTTTCACGTTTATCACATTCGACTCCGAAGTATAAGATATAGTATATATAATTATTTTCTCACAAATTCAAGCTACAGGTCGTGCAAAATTATCAGATTTTGTATAAATTAATAAAACATGGAAAACCCATTTTGTGTGATAGAAAGAGAACTAAACGATAGGATGTTAAGAAAAATTATGAGAATATAATTGTTATATTGTGCTTACAGAAAATAAAAATAAACTGTTAACAGAGATATGTCTCGCCTATTTGTTATATTATAATGCAAATGTTGAAATTAAAATAGCAATACTATAACATGTACTTGTAAGTTATGCATATATTCAAAGTCAATGAATCATGACTGAAGGTACAGGGCTAAACAATCTCCATGGAATGAGATGTGCCAATGCTAATACAACTTCATACCAAATACCATTAACTTATTATAAGTCGTTCCCTTTAAACAAACCTAAACACAAACATTAACTTGTAAACTATGTAAAAGTTTCAAAGTCAATGAACCATTATCAGGGGTGGGGCTATATAATCTCCATGGAAACGATACTTGCAAATGCCAATAAATTTGCATACCAAATATCATTGACAGTTCATCTTAAACTGATCTAATCACAAACTAATACATGTAAACTAAGCAAAAGTTTTTAAGTAAATAGACCATGACTGAGGGGGCCAAATATTCTCCATGGAAATGAAATATGCTAATGCTTATACAACTGCATACCAAATATGATTGACCTACCACTAGCAGTTCCCATAAACTGACCTAATCACAAACTAATACATGTAAATCAAGCAAAGTTTCAAAGTAGACCAAAAAACTAGACCTATGGCTAGGCCGTCGGCATACAATTCAGAAAAAGACAATCGGATGGACAGCAACATTGCTAATTAATTCATAGTCGCTGTACCATAAACTGGTAGGCAGGGCCTTGAAATGGTCAACAAACTGAGAAGTACAGACAGTAATGTAACTTTATAGAAAATGTAAGTATCTATTGTAAGTAGTTCATATCAAACTAACAAAAGCAGAAAACTTAACATTGAACATTGGTAATTAATTAAAAGTCACTGGACCATGACCTACGGGGACAGGGAGTGGAAACAGTCATCAAACTCAGTGATATGTACTAATAGTAATCCGACTTTATAGAAAATATTAGTGAACTATCACAAGTTGTTCCTATCAAACTGACTTAAGCATAAAACTTATTGAAAATTGCTAATTAATTCAAATTAGCTGGACCATGGCCTAGGGGTATGATGAACTGATAGTAATGCAACTTTATATTAAATATAAATGATCTATCACAAATAGGTCCTATCAAACTACCTTAAGCAGTAAACTTTAAAACAATTGTTGACGCCAACTACGTCGTCGTCATCGCCGGAAAAGCAATCTCTATGTCTTGCTTTCCGCGACTTTCGTCGCAGGCGAGACAAAATTGAAGGTCACTGGAGTCATTTTCTGGCTAACATAACAAAATAGGTTAATTCCCTTACATCCTCCAGGTGACCGAGTGACGACCAATTCCGTACCCAAAAATAAAAAACGTCATTATTTCGATAATTTATCACTTACAACTAACCATTCCTAATCTGTATGTAAACTATGAAAATTTTGCTTTCCATTGACTATTCACCGATAACTGTTCATTCTTTATTTTTTGTAAGAAAATAAAAGGAATTGGATTCCCGCTAGCCGGAAATACA